ACAGACCCCGCCCAACAGGAGCTGACGTTCATCCGGGTCCTAAGGAAGCGTTTCTGATGAGTGATAATGATGAGTGATAACCCGGATTCAAAGAAGAAGTAACTGTTACAGGACATTTCAAAAACAAGGTAAACACGCAAAAAAAAACTTTTAGCACGTGTAAATATTCGGCGAATATTTTTCTTCTGATATTAATAGGAGAAAAAAAAAGTGGAATGAGATTTAATCTTTGGATGCTCAGATGCTCAGACAAACGCATTCGAAATCCATTCTCACCATGGCCAGATCCTCCCTTTCAGTAAGCACAAAAGAAAAAAAAAAGGTTCTGCTGTCTACCGTTAAAAATGTCTCTAGAATAACTAAAGGAGAATTGTATTAAGGTTACTTTTACTTCCTGAACCTGGAAAAACAAATTAACAATTATTGAATATTCTTAGGCAGTTGAGGATTACGAGTATCGTTCGCCAATTTATTTATTTATGCCTAATATGAGGGTCTGAATGGGGGGGTCCACTTGTCGGTTGTCGGTTAAAATTTAGTTACTTTGTCGGTAGTCGGTTAAAATTTCGATCTTTGTCGGTTGTCGGTTAATCTCAGTTAATAAGTAAAAATGCATGTTAATTATTAATATTTGTTATGTGTTTCAATCAGTTTCAAGACTTTGATCCCTATAAAACATGTAAAACTTGTAAAAATGCATCATTTGATTGAACTTAAACTTCATTATGCAACATGATAGTGTATTGCACCAAAGCGTTTATTGCAAATGCGAACTTGGTTTCCCTGTTGATCACAGGGCACTATAAAAAGTAATGAAGAGAGGTTAATTGGACACAGAGGGAAACGCCCAGTCTAACCTTTTGGATACGTAAATTATTTTTGGTGAAAAACTGCAAGGGGTGACAGGTTGCACATCTATACCGGCGTGAGAGACCTTTAATATTTTGGCTCTAACAAGCATGTTCTTTGCCATGGTTTTCCTTTCTTACAGGAAATAAGGGGTGGTTCTTTAAAAAATTAGCAAAGTAGCGGTTGGTTTTGTATGAGATTCCACTTTTCCATCAAAGCTTCTTTGACGACCAGAAGAGAGTTACAGTGTACTGCGCAAGCGCGACCAGTAAATTTCGTCGTCGTGGTGTCGTCAAATGCAACCAAATTTCCCCACCCTAGGCTGCACATTGCTGTCAATCCCAAGGCAGAACCCAAGAAAGGCACAATAAAAATATCTCCAAATAAAACTCTGCAATCTTCTATAAACGTTGCTACATCACCAAAGATACATGTTCCTGTGACAGCTGCAATTATACGTTTTAACCATAATTGGTGTTACACTGCGTAGAATACATAAACCTTTAGGAGAAGGTCCACATTTTGTAAGTTTAAATATACCGTTCTTAGTAAAGGGTACAAAAAAAGTCAGTTTCGTAAGTTTACACTGATTGTAGCGAATGAGCCATACACTAATTAATTGTACTTGAAAAAATCGACTTGGTTTCTCTTTACTTTCGTTTATTTTGATTCCACAGTATTTTAAGAGGTTCAATTGATCAAAAACACGCTAAAACAAACGAAATTTGAAGACAAAACAGTGAAATTCACTCAGCCTTGGCTTGTTCTCATTGGCCTCCATGACTTCCTGATCTTTTCAAACCGTACGGCGCATGCGTGAAGCGTGGAAGTGGGAAACAGATGTTCCGTCGCAGTCTTTTTCGCCCAAGTCGGCAGTCAAATATCTCCATGTCGGGCGAAGAAAGATTCAAATATCACCTCCCCTGGGAGAACAAGATCAGTCAAATGCCCTACCCCAGGGCCAACAAAGACAAGCAAATCCCCACCCCGTACCCTGCCTCCCCCCCCCCGCCGGCTTTACATTGATAGGTGCATAAATCCACTGTTTAAGCGATCCTTTGAAGTCCTTTGAAGTCGTAAATCCAGGTATCGTTGCTTTTTTCTCGTAACAAGCGATGTTGATTGAAAATTCGACTAAGAGTGTACTGTGAAAGGTTTGAACCCAGGAGTCATTTCAAAAGTAGGTTCAGTTTGATCGTCCGGGTGAACGTAGTCCTGAATAGGACTGTTGTTGTTGACAGTGACTGACGTTTCCACAACCTGTGCGGTAGTCATCTTCCGGGTCAAAGTGAGTTGTATTACGTCAGTTGATATTATTATACTCTGGTTATTGATCTGATTGGTCAATTACGTCACGACGTTATTGGCCGTCTGTCAGTTAAGCTGTGATGTTATTGGCTATGAAGACTAAAAGTATACTATAATGAATTGTTTTTACTGCGAAGAATGACAACAGCTGAGGAGGCCGAGCGAGCGAACTCGTAAGTGAGAAATTTATTTGTACGTATTTAGGTAAGGCAAATCATATATCTTTAGTATAGAGAAAATAAACTTTATATGGAAAACAGCTATCACATCAGAATGTCTCTTTTTCCAAATCTAAACTCTGACAGACACTCGGACTCGGTCACCTCATTCAGGTTGAAAGTTGAATAATCTTTGTGCGGAAAGCAGGTGTTTTTCCACTCGAAAAAGTCAGACAACACAAAAAATTCTCCATCGTCAATGAAATTAGACGTACGGCTTAAAAATTAGACCTCGCATTGTTTTAAAAGACGCCATTGCGAAAAACTTTGTTGCGAACGAACATCACAGTTTTACATTTGTGTTTACATTC